AAGACCAAAGTTTGGGAATCAATGAATTAAAGGTGTGTGAGTGAGTCAATCCACTTGTCTTGGACTACGAATCTCACAAAGAATGACAGACCCTCCTTCCAAAATATTCTCTCATGGAGCATATTCACTCTTTTTGGGGTGCTGTCTGTGAAAAATTTGAAGGGTGATTTGTTGACTCCTAGGGCCCTTTGTAGCTGAAGCAAAGGCTACATACGTTTGTGAGTGCACCTATGAAGTTTAGGATCCTCACACCAGCCATTCTCTTGACCTGATTTGGCACAAGAAGCTTTCTGGCACAATGTTCTTATGTCCAAGTCACAGGACTGCATTGTGACAACCATTAAGAAAGGCAGTCCTCTGAATTTTGCAAGACCACAAGTTAACTGATGTCTTGGTGGCGAAAATCAAACCAAGATCCTAAACGCTGTGGTTTGTTTTAGGATCATGGGGTGTTGCGTGAATAGATGGAACCATAGTGGCATCTATTGCAGTGGCAGTGGTTTACTCCTCCAGATGATTTGGACTTAGCTCCCAGAATTCTTGACTTTTGGCCAAGTTGGCCAGGGCTTCTGGGACCTGAAGTCCAAAACAAATGGAGGACCAAAGGTTGGGAACCACTGCTCTGTGTTATACCAGCTGATATGAATTCTGGAAAATTTCAGTTTTGGAGTTGAAACCAGTAGGACTAAAGGGGTATATAAGAACTGCGGCCACTTGGGTGAGGGCTGCAGAGTTCCTCAACACATTACAAATAGTTCCATCTGCACCATTTTGAAAAAGCTGAGTTCAATTTTTGGCTGAAAGAACCGTCCAGTCCTTCATTACAGACAACCCAGGTTGGGAGGAGAATACACCCCTCTGGTTTTAGAACTGGGGCCTCTTCACATTACATGATTAGAACATTATTATTCCAATTTAACTGTCATGTTTCCACCCTATGGATTCCTGGGAGTTGTGGTTTGGGGAGGCACTAAAGTTCTCTGACTGAAAACTCTAAATGCTCCTCCCAGTACTGCAAATTCCAAGTTCTATAGATTAGAATCGTGGCAGTCCAAGTTAAATAATAGTGCTACAATTGCGTAGCATGAATGGGCCACAGGTCATAAAGTGGGACAGATCAGGGAGCCCTCCACACCACACAAATGCATTGCTATGATCCCACTTTAACCATCATGGCTGAATTCTATATAATCCCAGAGTTTGTAGTTTGGGGAGGATCTAGATCAGTGATTCCTAAACTCTGGTCCTCTAGGTATTTTGGACTTCAGCTCCC